TGGAGGGCGGCCACGGCCATGCAGTTCTTCACCAAGGGCTACCAGGAGACCATCGCAGGTCTGGGCGCCGGCCGGGCGGGAGGGCCGTGGGGCGCGGGCGGGGGGTCGTGGGGCGCGGGCGGGGGAGCCGTGTCGCGCGGGCGAGAGGGCCGTGTCGCGCGGGGCAGGATGCTCGAGGCGCTCGCCGCTCCCCGGCGGCGCCTTCCACGGAGCCCGTCTCTGGACACGTCTGGGGTCCCGCCACGCGAGCTCGGGGACCCTCTCTCCCACCGACCTGCTGGGCACCGGGTCCCCCGGCAAGTCGCGCCTGTCCGTGTCCCCTCAAGCCCTCCCACCGGGGGTGTTTCCAGGGCTTAGCGCGGCTCTCGGCATGGGCTCCCCGGAGAGCGGGCGCGCGGCTGCCCGGGCTGGCTCGTGGCTGGAGGGACCTGCCTCCGCCCCCGAACCCCCAAAGCCGTGAAGCGACTCCCGGCTGCTGCCTCGGGGTCGGGGAGGCGCTCTAGGTTCTGGGATTCGGACCGAGTCTCCCCAGTACCCTCTTCCCCCACGGCGGGGTTGGACAGTTGGTTTGGTAGGTGCCTAGGCCGAGCGGAGCGCTTTGCCAGTGCAGGTCTGAATGGAAATGAAATAAATAAGCCTTCCTACTTTCTCGGCTGGGACCAAAGACGTTGCTTTCCAGTCCATATCTTTTTCTTTTGGTAGAGTCGCGATCTTGCCATGTTGCCCAGGCTGCTCTTGAACTGCTGGGCTCAAGCGATCCTCCTGCCTCGGCCCCCGAAAGTGCTGGGGTTAAAGTCCACACCCTCCGTGTGTCCTGGTGCTAGTTACTTCTTTGATTTGGGAAAGGTCTGTGCCCTCACTGTTTGTGAAAGTGAAACTGGCTTGGAAAGGTAACCTCCCTGCTGTTTCTCGGAAGGAGTGCTGGGTGACTCCACCAAATAGACCCTGGGAAAACAAGGCTATTTTTGTCTAGTGACTTGCCAGAGGAAGGGCAGGAAGTCAGACTGCCCACGGACGGGTTTCAAGAAGGAAGTGATGCTAGGTCTAAGGCCCAGAACATTTCAGTTCACGTTTTGAATTCCCTGATTGTGAAAGTCTGGAGCTTCCAAAGCAGTTTTAAAATGCAAAGACGGAGGAACGCACTTTCGGTTTTCTGAGGGCTCAACTCTTAGGAGGTTTGAGGCTTCCATTTTTTTTTTGGTAATAATCGCACCATAGTGGACATCAGAGGACTTTGTGCATTCTGCCTCTTTCATACACAGAAAGTAGTCTATCCACAGCGCGGCCCAGGCTGAGGGAGTCCTCCCTGAGTGCTCTGTAAGCTAGTTTGCATCTCATTGCCCAAGGGGAGGAGGTTTTTCTTTCTTTCTTTCTTTTCTTTTTGAGTTGGAGTCTCACTGTGTTGTCTAGCCTGGACCTCTTGGGCTCAGGAGATCCTTCCACCTCTGCATCCTGAGTAGCAGGAACTACAGGCATGTGCCACCATGCCTGGCTAATTTATTTTATTTTGTTTTGTTTTTTTAAAGACACAAGGTCTCATTACATTGCCCAGACTGGTCTCGAACTTCTGAGCTCAAGCAGTCCTCCGTCTCCACCTCCCAAAGCGCTGGGATTACAGGCAAGAGCCACCAAGTTAGGCCAGGAGAGGGATTTCTGATCCTGAGATAGGTCACAGGATTCACTAAGTGACTCCATAGGTTTACTGGAAAAGTGGCTAGCAAAGATTTCCGATGATACAAGATTCGGCTAAAGGGGATGATGACTCCAAGGAATGCTTCATCCCACCTTAGAGATGCTGTCTTGGTTAAGCGCTAATTTATTACTGCAACAGCCCATGGGTCTAGAGCTAGAAAGCAGATGTGTATTTTTCAGCGTCTGGGGAGGAGAGGGAACAGCAAGCAGCTGCCTAATGGGTGTGGGGTTTCCTTTAGAAGTGATTAAAATGAACTGGACTCCGTGGTTTAGCCTCTAATCCCAGCACTTTGGGAGGCTGAGGCAAGTGTTTGAGACCAACCAGGGCAACTTAGTGAGATCTTGTCTCTACAGTAAATAAAATAAAAAATTAGCCAGGTGTGGTAGCGTGCGCCTGTAGTTCCGGCTACTTGGAAGGCTGGAGGCGGAAGGATCACCGGAGCCCAGCAGGTCGTGAGTGTGCCACTGCACTCCAGCCTGGGCGACGGAGTGAGATTCCAACTCAAAAAAAAAAAAAAAGAAATGATGAAAATGTTGTGGACTAGAGAGTGGTGATAGTTGCACAATATTGTGAATGCCATTGGATTGTATACTTTAAGGTGACCAAAATGATGAATTTTATGTATATTTTCCCACACTATAAAGTCAGGTGCATCTGTGGCCCCAGCTACTAAGGAGGCTGAGGAAGGACAACTGCTTGAGCCCAGGAGTTTGAGACCAGCCTGGGCAATATAATGAGACCCTCATCTCAAAAAAAAGTCCATGGATCATTTAAGATTATTATAAGCCATTAATTGAACACAGTCATTTGCCGCATAACAATGTTTTATCCACAATGGACCATTATATGCCAAGGTGGTCCCATAAGATTATAACGGAATAGAAGAATTCCTTTTTTTTTCAGTCAGGATCTCACTCTGTCACCCAGGCTACAATGCATTGGCACAGTCATGGCTTGCCACAGCCTCAGCCTTCTGGGCTCAGGTGACCTTCCTGCCTCAGCCTCCCAAGTACCTGGGACTATAGGCACATGTCACCACGCTTGGCTAATTTTTTTGTAAAGACGAGGTTTCAGTATGTTGCCCAGGCTGGTCTCGAATTCCAGGACTCAAGCAATCCTCTGGCCTCAGCCTTCCAAAGTTCCAGGATTATAGGTGTGAGCTACCATGCCTGACCTGAAATATTCCCTTTGCCTAGTGATATCTTGGTGATCCCGACTCTGTGTAGGCTTATGTGTTTGTTTGTGTCTTCGTTTTTAACAAAACATTTAAAAAAGTAAAACACAAAAATTAAAAATCAGAAAAACTTACAAGGATATAAAGCCATATTTTTATACAGCTGTACAGTGTATTTGTGTTTTAAGCTTAAGTACAAAAGAGTAGAAAACTTTAAACATTTAAAAAGTGTATAAAGTAACAAGTTACAGTAAGCTCAGTTTAATTTATGATTGAAGAAAGAGCATTTTAACATAAATCTAGTGTAGCCTGAGTGTACAGTGTTTACGAAGTCTGCAGTGGGGGACAGCCACGCCCTGGACATTCACATCGCTTACCACCCACGTGCTGACTCCCAGAAGCCTCCAGTCCTCCGACCTCCGCTCAGGGTGCGTGCCCTGTAGACGGTGCCATTTTTGTCTTTTATTCTGTTGTTTTTACTGTACCTGTAGTATTCCACATGGTGACATACTGCCCAGGTTTGTAGCCTAGGAGATGTAGGCTATGTAGTCTGTTAGTGTGTCGCAGGCTGTGCTAACTCAGCTTGTCACTTCTCTGGTGTCACAGAAATGAAATTGTGCATTTCCCAGAATGCATTTGCGCCGTTAAGTGTTGCCTGACTGTGCTTTGCATGAGTTAAGTGATTTATGTGGACGGTCTTGGTTCATCCTCAACTTTGAGGTAAATATGTCTCTTAGTCCTCTGACAAGGAATGGAGACAGAGAGGTTGGCCGTGCTAGCATTTGAACCTAGGAAGCCTGACTGTGGAACTCTTAGCTACTTACTCCCTTGTGTTGCTATGTAGGGAACGGAGTCAGAGTAGCTGTCTGTTATGCATTTCCAATGGTGAGCTGGGTCAACAGCATAAAAAGAAGTGAAGTAGAACGGATAAGGCCAGCCTCTCACATGTAGGATATGTGTTTGAGGAACTTCTGTGTAGGCTTCAAAGGGGCGATTTTTTGCGTGTGTACTGGCTCTAGGTGCCAAGTGTATTCCTTACTGTAGTCAAAAGCTTGAGAGCCTTTATCTGGGGGATCATGCTTAAGGCCTGAATATCGGTTTTTTTAGAGATACATAACTAAAGAGAAGACAGAGTGGAGAGGACAAGGATGACGTTGAACTCAGAGGAATGAACCTGGGACCAACCTGGGTGGGCGAGGAAAAGGAGGATGCTGGTGGGAGATGGGGTGGGGAGGGCCCCGAATCCAAGAGAAGAGAGCGATGGAGAAGACGGTCTGCACAATCTCTGATTATTTCCTTAGACAGCATAAGACAGCGACCTCTATGGATAGGAATAAACTCTGAAACTCACTCTTCTATGCTTGTAAACAAGGTAGTAATGTATGTATACATATATTACATACAAACACACACACGTATGTATCCTGTATATTAATTCCTAATTAGTAATGTTGGCTGAAGTGTTATAAAATATAAGCTGGGTATGGGGCTCACACCTGTAATTCCAGCACTTTGGGAGGGCGAAGTGGGAGGATTGCTTGAGCCTAGGAGTTTGAGACCAGCCTGGGCTACAAGGTGAGGCTTCATCTCCACACACACACACACACACACACATGCGCACAATTAGCCAGGCCTGGTGGCACAAGTCTGTAGTCCCAGCTATTCCAGAGGCTGAGGCAGGAGGACTGCTTGGGCCCAGGAGGTCGAGGCTGCAGTGAGCCGTGATCATGCCACTGTGCTCCAGCCTGGGTGAATAAGTTGGTTTTTTACATTCCCCCAACTCCTTCTCCCCCATTTCCTCTAATGTGGATTGATGCTACTTCCTGGCTTCTGAGACCTTTGGCTGTTTTCCTCACTGCAACTTCTCTCCAAGACTGTCCCTTGCAGTTACCTCTAGCAGGGTGGTGCAAATCTTCTTGGTCACTGGACCGTTGCTTGTGGCCACGCAGGAGGGCTGGAATGCTATCACTTCTCCCAGGAGCTGGCTGTGTTTTGAGTCCAGTGTCATAGGCCGATCCTTGAACCTACTCAGACCGACTCATCTGTTTCTGTCCCCTTTCAGTTTAGCCGCATTCTAGTTCCACCCATGTCAAAGGTTTTACCTTGGGAGCTTCCTTCCTACCTGGGTTGCCTTCCCTGTATTTCCGCTGTCCTCTTGTTCAGAACCCGTGCTTAATCAGATTGGGGGCTC